GGGCCGCTATTCAATCAAACAATCACAACAGGAGCGAGTATGTCTTTGAGATTCAATGGTGCGTCTCGGAGACCTCTCCCGCTTTCGTCGCACTCACTTTACATGTAGGAACGAATGTATCATTATATGGATTCAACGAAGGTGACTCGAGTGCACGTGTAGCCAGTACCGGGCGCTATCATATCGATGGTTCTCACGAAAACAACTTTGTAAACCCAGGCAGCAGACCACCGCCAGCTAATATTTCAGGTGGAATTGATTACTACAACGAACTCCTATTCACTAGTTCGGACTTGGATCCAGGAACTCACGATTTGACGGTGACATTTACTGGTGTGAAGACGGGGAACGAATCGATACAGTGGCTCGCAATCGACTACTTCTACGTTACTGCGAGCGCAGGAACTGGTGCTGATGGTGGACAATCTGGATCCGCATCAGGTGGTTCCAAATCAGGTGGACAATCTGGACCCACACAAGCTGGTTCCAAATCAGGCAAAGCACCAGTAGGGGCGATTGTTGGTGGTGTAGTTGGTGGTGTAGCACTCCTTGTCCTTCTTGGACTCGGCGTCTTCTTCTTTCTCAAACAACGAAAAAGGAGCAGAGATGCCGCATTAACAGCAGGCTCAGGAGGATATTTTGACGCTCAACCCGGGCCATCTTCTTCGTGGGGTGGTGTCAATGGAGTATCTCCTTATCCGTATGCAACGCTGTCAGTATACGATCAGAGCTCGCCTGGGAAGACTGTAGTGTCTACCTATGACCCATATCACGATGATGTGGGTGCTGCTTCGACGAGTTCAGGAAATCGAACTTCTGCTCGAGCGCCAGAGTCGAACCTGAGGGATATGAAGGATGCACAGAGAGCTGCGGTCAGGGAGGACGTTTTAGAAAGGAGACATCATGACAGTGGTATACGGTATCCTCAGACGCAACGTGTGGTTGATGTTCCTCCGGATTACACGCCGCAATAATTCTTTTATTCATACCGAAGATATGTTTCAATGAACTTTGTGTAGTTACTTCAGATTCACTAGTGACGTCTATACATGATATCATCAATGGAAAGCACCTAGTTCGATATTATGCTTCAACTGTGTAGTCTGGAGGTGGTTCTACCATGTAGTTCTGGAAAGCTGGTATGTCCCCACTTCTCCCCTTCGTCGTGAACAACGTAAAAACCGGAAGGTGTGGCAACATATCCGAGGACCTCGGATCGAAGATCGACGGCATGACATATGGATAGGGAGAAATTCCTGATGATTTTCTAGTGAAGATTGGAATGTCCGTATCTGCTTTGGAGCCTTTCTTCCTTTTCCTGAACTTAATGAAGACGAAAAACAGCAGACCAAGTAACGTTATACCGCCCACTGCGCTGCCCACAATCGCGCCTATAGGGGCCTTTACTGGTGCCCCATTTGGACCTGGTTCAGGCTTGAAGCTACCGCCTTGGTTCTCCACACTATTGGTCAAATCAATAGATCCCTCGCTGGCTGTGACATAAAAGTAGTCGACAGTCAATCCATGGTACCTCTCCGACGTTGGGCCAGCGAACGTGATTGTTAAATTATGTGTCCCCGGCTCCAGATCCGGACTCTGGAATAGGAACTCGTTGTAATAGTCGACACCTATCGAGCTATTGGACGGCAAGGATCTGTTGCCACGTATAGCGAATGGAGTATCATGGACGTTGTCGATGGAATACAAAGCATTTGTAACCAATTTTTGACCACTATCTCCTTCGTTGAAGCCGTAGAGTGATACACTTGTTCCTAGCCAAGAAGGATTGTTCACGGGGACGATTGTGTACTATATGATTAACCACACACCATTAAATGTGAAGAACACACTAGCACCGATAGTTTTGGTATAATTGAAAAGTATGCCATTTCCGAGATTTGGAAACCAATTCCTAGTATTGTCGTATCGAATGTTTTGATCGCTCGAGTCAACTTTGATCACTTTGCCAGTGACATTGACATTCGGTGCTGGAGCGTACTCAACTTTATCCAACCAGAATGTCTGGGTGTCAGGGTCATCGATGAGCGCGGTTAGAGTAAGGGTGTGGGGAGAGGATGTAGAAAGTCCCCTTGTCTCGCAGAGTATGTTGTTGGTGAGCCGGTCGATCTCTGTCAAGTAGTCGATGGAAGGAATGGAGGAGCCATCAATTTGACATTGCCACCTGGGTAATGTCACAACTTTGTCGGCATCACCCTGTCCCGTCTTGCGGGTATCTTTGGCACCCCAGACTGATACAAAGTCCCCTGTAATAACATGTGTGAACAAGGAAACAAAGGTGATAACAAACTCGAGAAATACCTTCGAACGTGAAGCTGAAACTTGTGTTATTTTGGTTGGTACCGTGCATGGTATGATTGTATGTCGGTCCATTACAGCTCAGGTTATCGAGGAGACTAGTATCGTCCGAGAGCCAAGACCCTGCGTATTCAACACGAGGGTCAGTGTCGTCGACAACTATCCGCCGGGGAAATTTGTCGCTGTTCGGATAGCTCATTGCAGAGCGAAGAAGACTCAGTTTCTTTTAAACATGATGAACAGGCACTGATGGTAATCATCATTTGAAACATTCTGTCATTACACATCGAAGGGCGATGTTAGATGCAAGCTGTCATGGAACGTCTAGCCAGCGAAAGTCGTCGAGGAGAAATTTCCACCTACATGAAAATACGCCTCGGATAGTAGAAGCTGTCTTGTGAAATCCTGTAGGTGGAGATACTAGAATAATTTTCTGATTAATATCGCAGAAAATGCCCATGGATTCACCGCGTTCAAATTTGATCGCCGAAATATTAGATGTATTATGTCGGTTAAAGCAGATGGATTGGAATGAAGCCATGATCATCTACCACAGGCCGAATAACGGTTGTGCGGCGAACGTGCAGAAAGTGGGAGAAATTAGTCCATCAGAGGGCATCGACAGGATGGATTGCTTCTGCCACATCAGATACATCAATGATAACCGACTCGATGGCGATACCTGCCAAAAGCCTGTCACTAACCACTGATTCTGAATCGAAAACCGTCGAACCAGTAGCCATAGGTAGCAGGGTGACCTGGTCAGCACAGCTCCACACTGTACGAAACATGCCCCAATCAACTCGACATGTTTGTAAAGCACCACTGTCGGATCCCGTGATTTTGATCTACAAGAATATCCATCGAGCCTGCGACGATTTCAGAGAGCATATACGTACAGGTTATCCATGATTTAGGCCGAAGAGAAATTTATGCATCAACGCAGGCAAGTCAAACGCAAGTCGTGGTGGTGTGAAAAGAAGAAGGGAGGTCGTGGGAAGAGAACCAATGGGGTTGATCTCTAATCACGATGACGGCTGCTTCCCTACGACCTACGTCCCCTCAAACGCCACGGCACGTCGTTCAAACCATTGTTCATCTTGAAATTGGGTTGGTTCCCCTGGACACAACGAGCCTTTAACAGGGACAGTCTCGAGGAAGCAGGGAGCAGCAAAACAGAGCAGGCGACGCGGAAACAGGTGTGCTGATACGTCTTTTGAATCTTTTCGTCCTCATGGAAAACCGATCACAATGCAAAGTTTCGTTTATTCACCCATGTACGGCCTTGAAGATTATTATTTAACACTACCTCAACTTTAATCACACGCTTGCGATTTAGTAACAGACCATAGATCCATAGAATAGCGAGTACCGTATCCTGACATCGGGGACTCGGGAAGACAGTGATTCGTGTTTGGTTGGTAGTCTTTCATTTTTCTGTAACTCAAATTTGGCAGCAGAGTGGAATATAGATGTGCAAGCTGCCAATGATCTGTATTAGGCACTTTTGCATCATGGAAGCTTTCATGTCGCGATTTAGGTCATTCGCCACAGCTTACTCGTAGCTAACTGAGACTTGGTGATATAACCGTCTCACGACTTCTCTACTACGCTTCATACTGGTAGAACCAATTGAATGCTGCTTAGGAAACCTTACCATACTGGTAAATGTCACTGTTCGACATGAGGATAGTTTTCGATGACTTGACGCCGTTCTCGCTGATGACATTACTCAGATGCAAAAGCCCAGCAAACTACACGCGGGGGTATAGCTCAGCTGGGAGAGCAGCAGACTGAGGTATGTAATCATGTTGGGGTTTCATTCTGAAAGGTCCCGCATTCGATCCGCGGTACCCCCATACGAAGATGCGGTCCTTCTTTTGCCCGTCTCATTGGGAGAGATGGGAGAGGTGGGAGAGATGGGCATAGTGTGCTCGACTTTCTTCAGTTTAGCGCCTACTGGTGACTCTGGATAACCTCAAAAGCATCCAAGAGCTGCGGAGCCAGTTGTATCTCTCGATATACGCGTATCTCGTCTGGGAGAGCAGCAGACTGAGGTTTAAATGTTCCGAGTCCATTATAGGGTCCATTCCAACATCTCCCATTATCATTCACTACTTTTGGACACATATAGGTACACACAAAGCCGCAACTTGAAAATCCAAGTTGCGTTAGGTTATATATAGTCTTCCTTTTCCATTCTATCGTGTACATATCACACAGCAACCTAATACTATTCTCTGACAATGCTCTCGAGTTCACAATGGCATCATGATTTTCCTCAAAGCAACCCGGACATAGGCTTCGCGTTTATTGATTCGTTGCAAGGTCGAAGTAGAAATAACGCCACACGCCACAGTATGACCGAAGCTCGATAAAATTAAATACTACTTCATCGAAACTTGACCCAACCATCCACCAGCTCAAATACCTTTAACGTCCAGGTGGCTTCAAGCCGATAACACTGTTGCAAGCTAACCAGGACGTCGATGTCATATCGCTATCCCATCCTGCGGAGCATGTAACTTGGAAAGAGATTTAGCCCGAACGTGGGTTCCCCGCTTTGGAGATTCTTGATTGATTCCATTGCTAAAAATGACTTTACGATGATAACCTTACATTGGTGTCAGGATAGCCGATACCTCGATCGGGCTATAGGTACATCAAACTAAAGCGGAATCATCGGGGGTATAGCTCAGCTGGGAGAGCAGCAGACTGAAGCAGCTGATCCTCTCGCGATTCTATTCTGAAGGTCCCGCGTTCGATCCGCGGTACCCCCAAAACAACCTCCTCTTCTGTACTAGGTTTTTTTACGCCTGTCGCCAAAGATATTCTCTTCTCCCTTAATATGAATCTTCCATTCCATATATCATTTTATCTCAGAGACGTTCTATCCAGCAAAGCAACCCCAAATCACGAATATGGATGAAGCCACAGGATGATGAGAGATGGGAGATGTACCCGGTTTTTTGACACAGGAAATTTAGGGACAAGCTGTACTCATATGATGCGACGACAGCTTCGCATGTGGGAGTGTAGCTCACCTGGAAGAGCCGTACTATAAGTCCAAGTCTCATATTTGAAGGCCCCTCGCTCAATCCACTGTACCCCCAGATTTGTAGGATCTGTTGTATTTGCTTTTGCATTGCGCTTTACGTGCCCAAGGGCCAAAGCTGGATGTTATTTTTCGATCCAAGTCTTACATTCAAGTTCAACACGGCTTACGAGCACTTGTAGTAAGTATATTATCCCATTCTCATGCTTTTACATTCCATCTCGCAACAATGCGAAGGATGTGACGTACCTGGTTTTTCGACGCATGATCAGAATGGGCCCCAACTGCCGAAGTTGCGGGCCTGGTTTATGCTAATACGGTGTGCAGTGAGCGTTGATTAGCAATTGGACGCAGGAAACGTTGTGCTCATATAAAGCGCATACGGGGGTATAGCTCAGCTGTCAGAGCACCAAAAGTCCGATATTCGCAGCGTTCAATCCGCGGTACCCCCAATATCTAGTACTGGACGAGTAGCTTTTGTTTTTCGTCCTGGGCCTAAGCGCTAAGCCTACAATCTCTTCAACATCGTACATGATCAGAGTTCCCTTCGTGCGCAATAAACTGACTTGAAACGTTCAGATCCACTTGCTACGCGTGAAACCAATTATCATCACATATCATTTGTATTTCGTCGCCGATTCTCACTCAGAACGGGGGTATAGCTCAGCTGGAAGAGTAACATCTGCCTCTCGAAGCTCGCTTCTGGACGTCCCGCGCTCGAACCGCGAGACCCCCGATGAACAATAGTAAGACCAAGTTTTTACTTTTTTTCTTTTTACTTTCAGAATATAACCCTCTACGTAGGTTCTCTTTTTCTCAACAGCCACCACCGGCGTCAGACTACTATAAAGCATGGGTGTATAGCTCAGCTGGGAGAGCAGCAGACTGAAGTAGCCATCTTGTTGAAAGCTATCGGTCATTCTGAAGGTCCCGCGTTCGATCCGCGGTACCCCCATGTACTGGCCGAACCTAAGTCTTTTTAATGTTTTCCATTGAATTTTGGATAAGCAAGCAAAAAGGGTTTTATTTTTACACACGATACAATACATACAACACCGTCCATTCGTACACCCCGATCTAAAGTAAAGCAAACGTACTCCCGGCGCTCATTCGACAACTCCCCCAGAGCTCATTCGCCTACTCCCACACCCCCACGCTCGGTCGACAACTCACCCCGCGCTCGGTCGATCACTCCCTCGCCTTCCTAACCTCCCCAACCCAACTCCTAACATCCTCCCAAGCCTTCCTCTTCACATCTTCATCCCACCACCCAGGTGGGATAATAAACACATCATGTACAGCGTCGGGGATCCAGTGGATCTTCACCTTCGTTTCGCCGTCTCCACTCGTCTTACCACCCAACGCCCCAGAAGAACCGTCGATGTCTCTCCCCATCCCTCTAACCAAGTTCCCCACCTCCACAGTCAACCGTTCAGCGGTTCCACATAAAATAAGCGTACGCGGGAACCCTTCGAATAACTTTCCCCATCGGGGGTAACGTTCTTTATATTCATACGCATGGGGTAGATCATGGGGCTGGGGCTGGTCGTGTGTCTGGGTCCGGAGATGGCGGTGTTTCCGACCTAACGGCGCGAGTGTAGGCGAGGATGATGAGGACGGGGAAGGTGAAGGGGGTGAGGGGGTTATTGTGATTCGGGGCGCTTCGGGTTGAGGTACGGCGTGTTGGGGGTGTGGTGCAGAGAGAGTTGAGAGTCGGATGTCTTCTTGAGGTGGTGGTGGTGGGGGTAACATAGCTACACTTGAAGCTGCGCTGGAGCTTCTCGACCTGCCGCCTTCACCACCTTCACCGCTACCTCTTCCATTACCGACATCTAACCCCGCAGGCTTCTTAAACACCACCTCCGGCGACGCCGTCCCATCCGTCTCTGTATCCGTCACGAACGACTCGTTACCCCGCAACACCACATGTGTATGACCATGCTTTCCCCCGTCACCACTAACCCGTCGCATCAAACTCCTTCTCCAACCCGGCCTCTGCTTCCCACACACCTCTTCACACCCTTGCCCCCCTTCTTCCTCTCCCGCGGGACAGGCACACATCCATCCTCCGTCGTATAAGTCAACTGGGTGGCCCCAGCGTTTAAGAACGACTGGTGAGGCGGGAGAGACATATTCAGAGTGTATGATTTGTTGTAAAAGGGTGTCTTGTTCCATTTCTTTATCCGTGGGATGCTTGGCGTTCGCGGTCTCGTTCTCATTGTTCTCGTTCGTAACGAAAGCCGGCGTCGCTGCCGTCAACTGGGGCGTACTCCCTACGAAGGCAGGCGTCGTATTCCCCAACTGCGGTGTCCCAGGATTCGAATTCGTACCCCCTGCGCCACGGAGTAGGTTAACCACACTCCCAACCCCGGTACGCCCGAGATTGTATACGCTTCCTACACCTGACCGACCGATGGTGTAAACGCTCCCAACACCGTCGACGAGAACGTTGCCCATCCCAGAGAGGAAGAAGAGACGGCGTTGGTTGATGTCGTTTTGCTCGATTTGGTGTTTGAAGCCTGTTGGTGCGGGGCGTCAGCGTTTCTTGGCAAAGAAGGGGCAGAGGAAGAAGGGTAGAACAGGGGAGAAGGAGAAAGGCAAGGGAAGAAGGAAAGGAGCGCACCTAAAAACGTCTTCTGCAATAACAACCTCGGCTCAGGTGTATCCGTCAAGTAATCCGTATCTGCGTTTGGTCTTGGTGTATGCCACGTACTAGGTGAAGGCGGGAAGGCGTGTGAGGCGTCGCATGAGGGCTGTAGCATACGTTAGTCTCAGGAGCAAGGTAGGAAGAAAGAGGCGTACGGAGAACAACAGCAACCCATCAGGCATCGGAACCAAACCCGTCTCTATCCCTTCATCTCTAATCCACCTCGCAAGCGCCAACACCAAGTTACCACCAGAAGAGTCGCCGATAAGGATGATCTTGACACGTTTCCTGCCTTCGGGTGTATAGGAACCCCCGTAATACTTGTCTACGACGTGAGCGTAGACGGTAGCTGCGTCGATAATAACGGCAGGTAGAGGCGCGTGCTGAAGTAGTCGGTATTCAACGGCGTAGCATTCGTGGAGTAGTTGGTCGTTGATGCCCAGCCAAAACTAATCGGGTAGGAGCGGGCTGACCAGGGAGCAGCAGGCTGTGAAAGGTAAATCAGGTAATCACGGGTGTCTGCAGGTTTATATCAACGGAATGTAGATAGAAGATTCATTTCATGCAATTACGCACAGTTCCAATTGTACTTTGAGAGAAAATGAAAGAAAATCTAATGCCGCGGCAGTAGTCGTCTTCCACACGACTCGATGTAACACTCCCATCACCACAGCGCGACAACGTATTATTTCTGCTCTCGAGTCTCGACCCTCTCATTCAATGCCTTGGTGTACCTGCAAAACAAAATGTAATGGTGGAGCAGAGGTCACCCAATCAAACTACGATCGGCACAACAAATATCGGAAAGCAGAAGCCATTGAGTTCGCGCCAAATCCACTTGGAGCCAGTAATCAAACATTGCAGAGGAGGACCCTGTCACAAACAAGAGTTGAAGCAGAGGGTAGTGTCAGGAGAAGGAAAAGAAGGAAAAAAGAGAAACCTAGGTTGAATTCACCCGAGCTTGAGGTATGTGCAATTGCATTGGTGCTTTGAATAGTTTACTGAATAACTTACAGCCCATAGCTGGCCCCTCTTCCGTCAATTCAGAGACTATACGTCTACCTGGTGACGATGAGGCCCTTTCAGATCGTCATCCAAATCCTTCAGATACCAATGTAATCGTCGACACACCACCAGACCACGACCATTCATCCCATTCTGCAGAGCTTCTCAATTCTCCGAGTAGCACAAAACCTTTGGAGCCCATGGAGCCGCTACCATCCCAGAATGTCTTGCCAATACCAGCAGAAGACAACAACACCATTCTTTCGGAACCTGAGCAATACGAGGATGAAGCTGGAGAGGGTACATTTGCAGTAGGAGATGCAGAGATTCCGACGCTCGAGGAGGTACTAGAAAATTTGTTGTTGTCTACACAATTACCAGACCTTCAAATTGCCTTACAATTCGTTGAAATGGTGCGAACTGCTACACTTGACGACAGCGGTCTCAGTGCAGATGAGCTCGAAGCTCTTCGGAATCCACCAGACCCACGCGATATCCTTGAGGATGCCGATTCTCCGGCGTTCGTCCATTCCCTCGAAAATTTCATTGCCGCATCATCTGGTACAACCCCCGACTCTACGTACAACACCTTTCGAGCCGCATATTTGCACCGTCACCCCGAGGAGGTCCTTCTTTCTTTTGATCAGATCAAACGAACTGTCGCCCGCCTCACTGGGATAGTCATGCTCACACACCATATGTGTTTTGACTCTTGTGCTGCGTTTACGGGTCCTTGGAAAGCTTTATCCAAGTGTCCTGTGTGTAATGCTGAGCGCTATGAGGACGATGGCGTAACTCCGCGTAAAGAGTTCTGGACCTTCCTTCTCGGGCCCCAGCTACAAGCACAGTATCTTCGGGATGACGGGAGTCTTGACTACCGGATTCAAGCGACCGAGAAGTTACTGTCTGCAGTCACTGGCAGAGATATTAAGCTGCAGAGTCGCACTGACTACATCCACGGAGAGGCCTATATTGCCGCTTTGAATGCAGGCAAAATCAAGAAAGAGTCGGTAGTACTTCTGTGGTCTGGAGATGGTGCCCAGCTTTACAGAGACAAAGATTCGGATGTCTGGTTGTCCATTTTTGCCCAACTGGAGCTTCCGCCATCACTACGCTACAAGGTCAAGCATGTATTGCCTGATACAGTCGTTCCAGGTCCCAAGGCACCAAAAAATCATATATCATTTCTCTTTCCAACAATGTACCATCTCTCCGCACTCATGCGGGAAGGCTTGATGCTCTGGAAGCGGGAGCTAAAGCTTTTCACCTCCCGGGATCTCTTCCTTGCATTTGCGTGCATGGATGCCGTTGCTATGGCTGCTGTTAGTGGATGGGTTGGACACCACGGCAAGCTTGGCTGTCGGTTTATGTGTGGGATGCCTGGGCGCAACAAACCACGAAGCCCCCATTACTACCCAATAATGAAGAAACCAACCGGCTACAATCATGGCACATCTGATCATCCCAGTATTGAGCGCAAAGACCTCCCGCCACTCGGCTCGCCTGAGCGCTACAGAACATCCCTTCAAAAGGTGCTTTCCTCGTCATCTCAGGCTGATTACGAGAGGAACCGCCGGGAAACAGGGCTCGCAAAGCCCAGCATCTTTTGTGGGCTACCGGAGTCCAACTGTTTTGATCTTCCTGGAATATGGACAGCTGATACGCTCCATCATCCCGGGCTCAACACACCCGAATGCTTGGTCCGTCTCTGGCGAGGGTCATTCGAGAGGACCTCCACAGACAAGGATCCATGGCCATGGGCTGTACTTGTGGGCGATGTATGGGAGAGGCATGGTGCCTTGGTTTCCGCTGCAACCGAATATCTCCCCGGATCTTTTGGACGTACACCACGCAACCCTGCGCTCAAGATCAACAGTGGATACAAGGCATGTGAATACATGACCTGGCTCTACGGGCTGGCACCAGGGTTGCTTTACAGTGTCCTTCCAGATATGTACTGGAGCCATTTCTGCCTCCTTGTGAAAGGGCTCCGTATTGTTTTGGCAGCCGAAGTAACAGATGCTGAGCTTCACTCTGCTCATCAAGCATTCCTTGCCTTTGTGGAGCTCTTCGAAGACATTTATGTCCAGTCGAAGATCAGCCGCATGCATTTTGTTCGGCAATCTATCCATACACTCACTCATCTTGTCCCTGAAACGCTCCGGGTTGGACCTCTCCCATTGGTTGCACAGTGGATGATGGAACGAACAGTTGGAAATCTTGGAGCAGAGCTTCGACAACATTCCAATCCATACGCCAATCTACGAGAACGTGCACATCGAAGGGCTGTCGTAAACGCTCTTAAGGCAATGTTTCCATTTCTCGAGACAGACCCGAATCAGCTCCCTATGAAGAGCATTGCCGCCGGCAGCGGTTATCATCTACTCCCCAGAAAAGTCGACAAGCGCAAAGTTTCTGTTCGACACTGCTGTGGCGAGACTATTTTAGATGCTATTCAGAGATACGTCTCAGAGAACGAGCTTGTGCCTATTCTAGAGGAGGATGAGGCTGATGATGATATCAAAATTATTCGACATGCACGTTTACGTCTACCAAACAGTCAGACCGCTCGATCACTATGGAATGAGACCAATCGAAAGAAGCGGCCTAGAAGAGCACGAATGGTAAAGGTAAGAGTTAGCATCAATTTTAAACACACTGCATTCGAAGTTGATGTTTCTCTTCATAGGTCCGTTATCAGGACAATCCCATCCATTACGCAGAGGCATGGTTCTACTTTCGGCTTGAGACTGAAAGCGGTGTTCAAAATCTTGCGCTTCTCTCTGTGTTCAGACCTCCGGATGAAGAAATGCGCAAAAAGTCTCATGGTACACTCCTCGTGTGCCAGTACGAAGGCATAGGAAACTTGGCAGTTGTTCCAGTAAACTGTCTAATGTCTGTTGTAGCCATGGTTCCCTATCCACATTCCCCACGAGATGACCTTTACTTTGTTGTAGAAAAACTGGGACATATCATTGGTGATGCAAGCCCCCCCGATGCGCCTGAGGAAGAGGAAGAACCCGAGCAGGATTCCTGAATTAGACAGTATATACAATATGTATTCTGTATGATATTTATGACATTTGTGGTTGTGAATGCACAGGACGCATCAGAGGATGCACGGATGCACGACAAGACGCGTTCAAACATCTCTTTCTTGTACCACCATCATCACGATCCTTGTCTCCAGTTTTGCCTGTCATGCAACCTGCTCTTGCTCTTGCTCCAGTTCCTGCTCCTGCTCCTCAACATGTTTTTGACCCTTCTCTTGTTTCTCCAGGTCCCAATTCTTCACCACCTCAGCCGAACTCATCTTTTCATTCCATCCCTGCACCGAGTTTTCCTTACGGCTTCCATCCGAATCACCACAACATGCTCCCACCTTCGTTTGGTGTTTCTAGTATCAGTCTAACAAATGCAACAGACGAGGATCTTATCATGGCTCGTAACCGAGCATATATGAAGCTCAAGACACAATATGAAACTTTAGAGTGCGCATGCTGTCATCTCTCTTAAAGAAAACTGCTCAATTTCGATTCTAGAACGTGCTACTCACAGTTGCTCAAAGCTATTCCTAGTACCTCAAACCCAGCCCCGCTTCAACCATCTGCTTCAGCAAATACATCACCACCACCGGCTCCGAAAGAAACCGATTGCGCATGCAACTTTTGGACTCAAGCCAAATTCATGTCTGCCTACAATGCCAAGACTGCAATAAGCACTGCATACCTCGAAGATGAACAAGGGCAACCTATCTCTAAAGTCGACCGTAGTCTTATCTACAATGCGGCTTATGCATTCTGGAACGAACTCGCTGAGACCCGAGGCATCGAACCTCCCGTCTGGACGAAAACTAGTATGACAGTTCGGCAGAATTTCTACACATACATGGAATCAAATTTCCCGAAGCTCGCTCTCTGTGCCGGTCATTACAAATGTAAACAAGTCTGGCTTGACAACTTCAATACCTGGAGACGCAGTTATCGCAAATCACATCAACAGGAGGAACATTCAGATCCAGACTCAGAGGATGACACGGAGGAGGATGACTCAGGGAACGAGGACGATGGCAAGAGCAACTCAGAGAAGGAGAATGACGGCGGTCACCAGGGCAGAGGCATAAAGGGAAAAGGAAAGGAAAAGGTCGATGAAAAAGTTGGAGATGATGACGAAGACGAGAACGAACAGATCCCAAGAAAGCGCAAGTCGAAGGAGCCCATAAACCCTCACCACAAACGCATAAAGAAGACCTCACCCACTTCAGTTCCCATGTTTACGGTACGTGTTTGCTTTCATATGCTATGTGATGATACTGACACGCTACTGATAGCCTTCGAACCCTCTGTACGTCTTTCAGTTTTTTTCTTCGCTGTTACTCTAATCATGCTCTTTCAGAAATAACAGCGGCACCACCACCAATGACACCGCAGAGGATTTCATCCGCCTAGTGAACGGGAGCTCGAACAGCACGAACGAATCCCTTACCCACGGTGACAACGCCAACGCCAGCGCATCAACATCAGTGCCTGCCAGCACATCATCACCACCACCTACTCACGGCTCGCCCACGTCTTCGCCAGAACATCCCTCGCTCAACAAGCCTTCCTCTTCGCAAACCATTACCTCGACCACAACGACCCAAGATAACGCTGTCTCCGCAGCTACTGTCCCACCTCAAACTCAAGATCTCTCCAATGCCTTGCCTACATCCCAAGTAAACACCACATCCAAGTCGGGAAGTTCGCCCAAGGCCGCATCCACAGGTGGTGACGTATTCATACCCTCAGACAAGATAACCGGCATGTAAGTCGACTGAACAGCGTCAAATGTCGTTTCAAGCCAACATTTCTCAGGGGCATCTTTGAGCGACAGTGGAAAGAAGCAAACCCGAACGGAACTAAGGCGGAGTTCGCGGAAGCATGGAAAGCGTTGACGGCGGCTGACAAAAAGGTAAGTATCGATGTTATCGAGTGTCAGAATGAATGGCTGACTTTGACTAGCAACTCAATTCGCGTGCTAAACAGATGGTGTGTACACACATCCACACTGTCAGACTTACTGCTAACTACGATGACAGAAAAAGGAAGCAGCAATGACGTCTACGTCAACCTAGGTGCTTGTGAAAGCCCGGCGGGAATTGTACGTGAATTCTGCTTGATTTGACAAACCGTATGCTGACAGTATAGTTGCAGCACTCCATTTTCTTTTTCTCGACGTTTTCCCCTGCCTACTATCATTGGATAGTAACGTGTGCTGTGTAGTGAATGTCTGTAGTTCATGTATACCCGGATACGCCTGTAATCACCTATATAAGCCGTTTCATTGTAATGGATACTACATTTATTGCCGCTACCTAGGAAAATCTGTCCCTCCCTTGAGATTACCTGTCCAAGCCCGCTGCAGCCCGTTGCAGCCCGTAACCACCTTCGAAAATCGGGTAGCAAGGGGCCCCTTAACCATATTCAGGTAAAAACGGGCTAGACCCGTGAGTACCTGTATATACCCGCTCCTACCTGATTAGTTTTGGCTGGGGTTGATGAGCCGTCTAGGGATGTGTGCGGTACGGACTTTTTCGGAAGCGGACATTTGGCAGTAGCCGCCGCCGTGCATGAATATGCCTACGATCGGTACGTCGTTGTCTTCTGAGGGGGTGTCGGATTGAGAACCTGGTGCTGTGTTAGTTGTGCAGAAGAAGGCAGGACAAGGGGCAGGGAGGAAGGAAAGGAGACGTACGAGGAGACATAACACCAGCCTTCCTCTCTCTCGGCCAAACAAAACACCCAACCTTCTTAAACGGCACCTTTCCAAACCTATCAACAACCACACCTCTCCTCAACTCCTTCTTCAACGGTTCCGCCCACTCAAACCTTGTCTCCTTCAATCCTTCCTTAGACCCATCTGCGTCAGGATCTCGAGTTCCCCAGTTAACACCAGCGACTTCAGTTACCCTGTAAATCCGGCGTGTAAAGTTGACAAAGATGATTTGGCGGAGAGACCATGACTCCCTGGGACGGTACCGACGGGGTAGGATGAGGTATTTGATGAACCAGTATGGGACGAGGAGGAGTGTGGTGAGGAGGCGTTGGAAGACGTAGATGGCTTTGTAGGGTTCTTTGGCGTAGGGGAGGTGAGCGAAATGCTCGTATTGGGGTGTTGAGTCGTATAGCATGCGGCAGCGGCGTAGGGGTCGTCTATGTTAGGCGTTAGGTTATTGGGAAGGATTCTATGGGGAGTCGTATGTTTTTCGTGGAAATGGACAGAAAAGTCTTTCGTGGAACTGGGCAGGAAAAAAAAAAGTGGATCGACGTCGTCTGCTGAGCTGCTTGCTTATGAATGAGATCCACTCTTCGGCTTCAACCGCTCCGCTTCTGTCATCTGTGCACTGCCTCACCAGAAAGGTGTGCCTTGGCATCCGAGCCTCGTGTGCTGGCAGTTTCATCGTCGTTTGTTATCGTTCTCGTTCTACCGCAAGCTAGTCTATGTCATCGTCATAGTAGTATCCCACTCGAGATAAAAAGAAAAGACAGAGAACCACTCCGTCCCTCAACACAACTCTCAGACTCCGCCTCGGCATCGGACTTCTCGGCCCGCGGCATTTCCCGTCCGTGTGTCCCCTTTTCATTTAAAAACACCCGACGGTAAACAGCTTTTATCCCGACGGGAGATGTCGATGACAGTAGGTTGCTTATACGCCCAGCCCATGTGAGTTCATTCTAGAGTGTACAGTACTGCGCAGCGTGGAGGTTCTCGTACCTTCTGGGGGTTCTTTTGTTCTAAGAATAGGTATTCCGATCCGAGTCGTTCCTTTTGCGTTCCTTTGCTACACCGGAGAGATAACGATGTTTGATTAGATTTAGAGGCAAATACGCGTCACCTCGCAGTCGATCAAACACATCATCGCCAAGGAAACACGGTCATCGTCGTTCATAGGTTCTTGGGTTCTTGGTTGATTGGTGGGATAACGATACCATGTACTCACCGCACATCGCCGCAACCAATAACACGTTGATGATCCAAAAAAGGAATCTCGAAAAATTTTGGGCCCTGGTTAGTGGGGGTACCGCGGATCGAACGCGGGACCTTCAGAAATTCATCAAGATGGGATGACAACTTCAGTCTGCTGCTCTCCCAGCTGAGCTATACCCCCGATGTACATTGCTCACAATAATCGTCCTGTGATCCTTCTCTTTTGCGCGATTCGAGATACCACGCGTTCAACTTCGTAGTTTGAGATCAACCACGCTTTCTTGATTCCCAATCTCATGCTCCAAATCTTGGGCTCTAGCGCTTATCACTCGCCCGTCCTTCAAACGACTCTTTAATACCAACCGGACTTTCCATTCACGTTCCTCCTCAACAGTCAACTTCCCAGTCCCAGTCCCATGTGAAGAGACCACACCCGAAACGACAAAAACGACGTTGCTTAGGTGTTATATGGGGGTACCGCGGATCGAACGCGGGACCTTCAGAATGAGCGTCACACTATTTTATTCAACGACTTCAGTCTGCTGCTCTCCCAGCTGAGCTATACCCCCATGACAATCGTGCTTTCTGTCCAATCACCTCGGCCTGGGTTTTTACTAGTCAGTTCGAAATGCAAGTTACTTCCCTCGACGTTACTATCCTCTATCATCGTTGTTTCCTTCTGGCTTGAGGACATCCAACTCTGGACTCGGCGGCTTGTTCGTCTCTACGGTGACATCTCGCGTTGATCACCGCCCACGAGCTTACATGGACACCAACCACAAAAAGCTATCCATTGTCTTCTCGTCAGTGGGGATACCGCGGATCGAACGCGGGACCTTCAGAACCAATGGAAACATTTCGGAAACTTCAGTCTGCTGCTCTCCCAGCTGAGCTATATCCCCAGTGACTCGTGAAAGTCAAAGTCAACATAAGATTTAAAGATTGTAGGCGTTTGACGTGAAGAAAAACCGTAACGTGTTGTTGGGTTCGATGACTCCAAGTCTGTGTTGGTCTTAACAGCAGAGACAAGAGCAGTCATATTTCTCCCAGACGATTGGTTTTTTCAATGTCACACACGTGCCCAGGGGCCAGCCTGAGGTTCTTGATGCTAAGTTCTAACAGGCAGAAGAAACAGTCATGGCTCGAAATCAAAGCTCAGTATTCATGCCGCGATCACAACCTTTTACTTGAACGGAGATATAGAAATCCTGTACTGGTTACATATCGCACTCACATCTTCAGATTCTCGCCAGGATTCCTGATTCAATAGGCGCAAAAAGACAGATATGGAGTGATCACAGGTGGGGGTACCGCGGATCGAACGCGGGACCTTCAGAACGAGCTTGGGTTTAGAGTGGCTCACTTCAGTCTGCTGCTCTCCCAGCTGAGCTATACCCCCAACGGTCGTTGAAAACTCGCGCCAATCAGCGTAAGGAGGGAGGCAAAGGAACGAAGGTATTGTGGGCCTGATGTGAATAAAGAATGCGGCTTGGGTTCGGAAAATATTCGGGTTGCTTGCTAGTTAATGACCAGGAGTTTGTCATGGAGAAAGGCTGTGATATCAACATACCTTTTGCCTCTCCTTCGGATAGGAATAATACTTTGAACTACGTGTCGCGTAATTAAAAGGGAAAAAGGGAGATAAGGAGGAAGGAGCGCAGAAGACGTGATCGTGGTTCGAGATTAACCTGTGGTCAAAGTCGCTTCTCACGACGTCAGCACCCCTTCTTCTTTTCACACCACAATAACCGCCTGGTTGATTCAGACCAAGATCGTTCGGAATCTAGACATTTAATTTCTGTCATCGTTGTCGACTCTCTGCTTGTCGTAGCAATCACCGAATCAAGCCCACGACGTTCGAGATCAATACTGGTATCAACACTCGTCTCAGTTCATGGGGCTTTCCGTGCAATTGGTCGATATCATCATCTGATTCGCTTTCTCTGTGCTTCGGTGATCCGAGTCTGGATTCTCAGTTCTGGGCCCTAGCGCTGGATGATTTATGATTCCTGTGTTCGTCATACATCGGAGTCGACCATGATAAGAATCAAACGTCGAATCTTATCCCACTCTCTTCGGCCGCAGTGTTCCTCTCCTTGTGCATACTATTGGGCTGAACGTTCGGATAAGGATCTTGACACCTTGTTTGCTTTAAGTTCAAGCCCGAGTAGTTTTGTTCCGAACCTCAAGCGAGTACCTTTTTCATCTAAACTTGGCTAGTTGACGCGAAGCTTAAATGATAGTATACGGCACGCTGTTGCTCATTATCGAACGGGTATCGCTCGTCGTGTGCTTCTTGAGTCAACTTCTAATTCTGAGGTACGCAACTGCACGCACGCACGCTACTAAGGATTTTGAATCACGGTTTACTTCTTAGAGTTGCATGTTCGGTACTCATTTCGCTTTTGCACTAGGTCTGGATCTGGATGATATTCTCCCAACAAAACTAGCACTCATTTCTATTTATCTATAGGCATCAATACACTACAGTTTACAGTGACCATCAAACTTCAACATTCTCGCTAAACGTCCGACTCTTCTCAGTCATACGACGGGCTACGACGAACGAGTAACACTTACGCAAATTCACTAGGATCGTTCCCTGCAGGGAAATACTCACAAACATGGTACTCTGAACCTGAACAATCCACTGTCGCACATCCAACGGACTTTGTAGCCTTCCACACGAGTTGCGTGAAATGTCCCGTCTGAGAATGGGGATTGAACGGATGCTTGGGGTCGTAAAGTTCTGAATATGTACACGCATGCCTTGAGTTGAGGATATAATCAATAAAAGTAGTATGTTACTCACCAGCTTCCCCCGCCCATAAATCGAAAGCAGAACGAAATTGCAAGGAATGTCCCATTGCGAGATTCTCTACATATTTTTCGGTGAGTCGCAGCATTAGAGGTATTACTCGTCGTTTCACTTACCCCCAATACTATGTCCCCCAATCTTGATGTATGAATGCTTAAATACGCATTTCTCGGCCCAGGCTTGCGCGTAAGAAGCTAGCGTATCATGCCATTCAAGTGGTCTTGCGTGGTACTTTGCCCGGAAGCCGTTATGCAGCGTGAGCCACTCTTCCGGCGTGGAGGAAGCATTTGTGATTGCTATGAGGTAGATGGCAGTGAAGAATGCCGCGAAACTGAAGAGCATTGATGGTATGTGTAGCTATGGGAAGTGCCGTTGAATGGGCATTTTATACTGAAACCTCTTCCAGCGGAATCTAAATGCGTGCTGCGATGTGCATGGTGCTCGCACTCGCGTTTCGGTAATAGATGTAGAGCAGCTTGAATGGGATATGAAAGATCACCGATCACCACTAAATAGGGCCGTCGGATTGCTTAGACACTTCTATCCCCGACCTGACTTCGAATGGTAGGATCAACGGCAGATGTGCCCCCTTTCATTTCGAACGTGGATTTTGATGAGCATCCACACATCTCAATTAGGGTCTGTCCTAGAACGACGATGATCTTCATCTCCGTAAAAGTCTGTGAGGGGTATATCACAAATGTCACCACGGATGATCATGGCAAGCGGTTTGTTTTGTTGAGAAACAAGCGTAGGAGCCAAATGTGTTATCGCATCGATTATGGCTCGAGATCAACATGATCCCTCATAGACGGTGCACTTCTTCTTCATACGACCAGCGAGATAACAATATATCTCGTAGCGCCTTAACTCCGATGATGATAACACCACACGCTGTGACGCAAATAGCAGTCAAGGGCAAAAGAATATATTCTCGGCCCACAAACACAAAACATACACAGGCATAGCAAGCTAAACAAACATCTTATAACAAGCGCAAAGCAGCGACCTTTGGAGTTAGATCTCAAGGTTGTCGATGAAGTCGCTCGCGTTCTGTCCGAGCTTCTCAAGAACCTGCTCCCTGACCGTCCCGTAGACCTCAGTGTTCAATTCCATCTCCTGGTTGCCTGTCAAGGTATCAGTCAGTTTCACTGCCCGCCTTGTACTCAAAATACCACCCATACCTTGGGAGAAGTTGACCGTGGTATCGACAAACTTGAAGAATAGAACATTCGTGATGTCGACGTTGGTGGAATAGTAGTAATAGCCAATTTGGAACAACACGTTCCCGTTAGAGGCTTGGCTACATTCGGCAATCAGCGAGGGCTGGTATGACCGAGTGTGTGGCACCTACTTGCATACACCAAGACTGAAGCTTGCCTGTTGACCACTCTTGGCCAAAGAGTTGAAGATGCGAAGTCCATTGTCACTGTTCTTGAGCGCTTCAATGGCACGTTTCAGGAGGTCCAAGTCTTTGCCGGACAAGACATTCGACATGATGTCGATGACAAGAGCGTCCACGGTTCCGCTCTGCTCAGCATTGTCGACCTTGTCGAAGCTAGACACAATATCAATCAATGAATTCATTGAAAAAGAACAGCGGGAGGAACAGACCTGAAGGTCCTGACAACCCAGCCGACGGTTTCGAGGACGTTCGCATAGTACTTGTACCACTCTTCAGTTTGAGTTTCCTTGTTGAATTGCTTGTTTGCAGCGAGCTGAGCCAGCAAGCAGCTGTTCATCACGTCTTGCTAAATCAGGGACAATGAATGAGCATGTTTCTATCTAGCTTATAACAACAGTGACCGAACCTGGTTCTGTAGGTCGAGCCCTTCGACAAAGGACATAAGCTGCCCACCGACAACATCGGCTTGCTCCGGAGCAGCAAGCTGAAGTTCGTCGATGAAGCGGAGGCGCTTCTGGGTGTCGTCGTCTGGAGCCATGTTCAAGATGATAGTGAGTTCCTAAGAAGTAACAGCTGGTTGGATGCGATGAGGTTCACAAAAATCCTACCAGCTTATATACCTGTTACTGAAAGACTATTCGCATTCAAGAGGGTGTGGACTTGAGCCAGGATACTCTGACACGGTATGTGCTGCCGGAGTTGCCGATATCGGCGGTGATGTCTGAGAGAGCGAAATGGCATAACAACAAGTCACTCGCATTCTTCAACCCCACTGGTCAGTACTTGACAGGGGAAATTGAACGTGCAGCCTTGGAGGTAATCCATGAGCAGTGAAAAGTTGCGGTAGCAGTAGTGTTTTGCTCCGTAATTCGGGCCCCAGACCAGTTGACGTTCATTTACGTTTCTTGGACTTTCATGTGATATCAAAGACCCGTGGAAACTTCCCGGCATTTTGGCCAGCTTTGAGCTTCCATTCCGGGTGTCACTAGCCAGAGTCGCGCAGCTCGCAGTCTAGGCTGCAGTGAGTTATTTCCCAATTCTCGAGAGATGTACTGTCTCGTGCGAGCTACTTACATCCAGCAATCGTTCCACTCCCACCGTCATCCTTCACACATCATACTCGATTATGATATTATAACACTTGCTAATCATCTAGACCCTATGATTATCACCATCCTGTTGCTCGGTGGTCACTCCGGAGTGCTAGAGTGGTATCGGGTGCTATGGAGTCGCTATCGGGAGTGGGATATGTCCCGAGGAAACATACAACAGCATTATGCTTTTGGTACCAGTCTGAGAATCTCGTACTATGTTCCCCTGCAAGTTGCATATCTACTTGGCTGATAGCATATGGCGTGAGCTTGCCAGTTGTTCGCTTCTTTTGACCGTCGACAGTCATCAGAGAGATATGACTTGGTGCTCTTGGCCCGATGCTGCCTCTCCACGGCATTTCGTATACAGAAAGTAAATATCACCATGTAGTCACCCAAGTCATGAATATTTCCAGCGGCCTTCCCTAGAGTTCCTGAAGAGAAATTAGCTAACCATTCCATTCATCAATCGGAAAGAAATACACCTCAGAATTAACATAATCTCCTCAACAGCCTGATACGCACTCGACGGTGCCACCTCTCAACGGCATTTCGTATACCAGTTTGTAATCTCGTACTATGTTTTCCTGCATGTTTTATGTCCACCTGCGTGGTAGCATATGGCCTGAGCTTCCTATGGTTGTTCGCTTCTTTCGAGTGTCCACATTCATCGGAAAGATAGAACTAGGTACTCTTGTTATTTTTGGCACCATCCGAACCTGCCTCTCCCTGATACGCACTCGACGGAAGATCTGTCAGTGCCATCAATGCGAAGCACAACATCTGCCAAAGAAAGCATAGTAACACGGCACACTGGGCATATCCCAACTCTGATAACCATGACAAACCCCCATGACATCATTGTGACAGTGGCAATATACCAGAAGAACAGTTTGGTATGGGTCGCGAAATTGAAGTACATTGGCAACTGCTAAAGAGGGTATTGTGTAGCGTTGGAGTTATCATAATTGTGATCTTCATCTTTGTTGTTATCTCTATATTGAAGGAGAATTCAGCATGTTACCACCTCGTAGGAGCTCGTAGATTAATAAGATATTTAGGAACTCGTGAAGCCGAATACGACA